ATTTTATGATTTTAGCAGCCTGTCAGATTTTGCTAAGGTACAAATTAACGTCATCAAGGACAGGAAAATTGAATTCAATAGGTAATTTTTGTTGTTGTTATAGATTCAGCTACTCGGAACAAGTTCCAAGTAGCACGGGCTATGGTGAGCCCGTAGTGGACTTGCTGGCACGGGAGCGATTCAATAGATTGATGAAGATGAAGATTAAGCCACCCAAGAGGTGGCACGGGCATGAATAGCCCGTAAGTGGTGGCCCTTTCGAGCCATTACCAGTATCAAAAGATGATACTGGAGATCTGTGGAGGCGCAACTGCACCCTGCGTGACGGGAGATGTCTCCCGGACCAAGTGGTGACCAAATGGTGGATTCAATAGGCCAAATACAGCAATATATATTCCACACAGGTGTGATAGGAGGAGAGGTGGTTAACCCTATCGATAGGACCAGCTAATCTGATCCTGCATTCCCATTGGCCGACTGGCGCTTTTGATGTGGTGTAAAGTAGTAGTTTTCTCTTGATATTATAGATGGAAGGACGCGCCTTGGTGTGTAGGTGGGCTGTTGATAATTGCATCAGTTTGAATGCTGCCATGACTAACATTCTCTTGGCTCTATATCTGTCGACCGGAGCAGAGTTTGCAGGGTTTAGTTTCAGCTCCTGGGCCAGGTTGTGTCACTGTAATAGCCGACCCTCAAACTGAGAGTGGCCTTATACAGTGACTATACCCATTTGTTGTTTCTCGTAAGTGCCTGGAAACTTTGAATGCGTATGAATTCCTTGTATTTGATCACCGTCCTCACACTAGAGAGCTTCCTCATAGCCCCGTGGCTTCTGCGTGTCTCACGTACGTGATCTCTCGTCATATTGTTATTCAACCTATAATGTTGTCAACTTTGTCAAAACTCTTCAAGTATATTGCACGTCAAGAACATGTGTCTTCATCCTCTCCGCTCCGCAATGTAAGCTAATGTCCCGTTAGTCCTAACATATTCTGACACAATTTTAACACACCCACAGGTTCCAGAATTAAGAGGATTGAGATAAGACGACTGACTAGGGGGGGGGGGGACATAATCACATCGCTTGAATGGGGAGAAAAAAAAGGGCCACGATCTTGCTATAGTCCAGGGCTACGATCTCGTTGTATTCCAGGGTTATGATCTTGCTGTATTCCAGGGTTATGATCTTGCTGTATTCCAGGGTTATGATCTTGCTGTATTCCAGCATGACTATATTTGTCTGTCCCTTACATCATGGCCTCTCAGACATAAGCCAAAGTCAAGATAGTTATGTCTTGTTAATTTTTAAAGCAAGGTAGACATGAGATTCATGACTCCGGAACGGTAAAACACCGGGTTGAATCTTCCAGTAACACACACCCCATCTCTGCTACAACTTCAGGAAATGAAGCTACACAAGTTCAATATGTATGTAAATCACCATCAGACGCTGGGGTGTGTGTGTGACTATATTGGTTAAAGTCACTGCATGACTATGGCAATAGCAGCTGGGTGAAGAAGTATAGTGAATTATAGGGTATGCTAAAATATGATAGTCTTTGTTGATTATAGATTATGAGAATATTACTCGAAGCGATGTTCTTAGTGATCTTCATAACCAGATCTTCAGTATTTTTATAAACATTTAAAAGGAAGCTAAGGCATTCAGGGCTTGGAATAAACATCTTTTAGGCGATTGGAAGAGAGCGAGGCGAAATATAGCGCGTTTTAGTTCAATAATTAGCAAAGCCTGGCAGATGAAAAGTCACAATAACGTGACTGAAAAAAATATTGACCAGACCACACACTAGAAATTGAAGAGACGACGACGTTTCGGTCCGTCCTGGACCATTATCAAGTCGATAAGGCTTTTTTTTTTTTTTTTTTTTTTAGCAAAGCCTTATTTCAGAGGCACTGTATTCTCACCCTGCAATAGTGTATTGACACAAATATATCCCTGCACTGGTCACCCTTCTCGGGAGAGATTGACCGATTATTATTATTATTTAAATATAAATAATATATATATAGCCTAATAAAACATGAACCGTTTACATTCACAACAAATTTTTCGTACCCCAAACGTTCTCATCTGACTGAAGTAACATTAAAAAAATCTCATGAAACTAGAACATTTTAATTAAATACTCGTGTGTGTGTGTGTGTGTGTGTGTGTGTGTGTGTGTGTGTGTGAGGGAGATAGCATAATTATGGAAGAGAACTCATCAGCGTTATGGAACACCTTTGTTTTTATAAACCAAAAAAGGAGGTCGCGCGGTTTTTTCTGCTCGAGTCTCTAACACCCGGCATGGTCAGTGTGCCTGATGGCCGGCTCCAATTATACATCTCTTAGCCTGTCGAGGGTGTGTGTGTGTGTGTGTGTGTGTGTGCGCGTGCGTGTGCCGTGGGTCCGTGAGTGCGTGTGTGTGCGTGGGCGCCAGGATTCGTCAAGCGAAATCTGTGCACCTTTCGTTACTCATGACATCTTTGTTTACATTTATTGAGCAAATTGTGAGTTGTGACACGTCACTCCTCACGGTTATTGTTATGAACAACCTCATAGTTGTTCGGAGCTCATAAACTGTTTTCTAATCGGAAACAAACCCGCTGTTATTTAGGAAAGATATACAGGTTTCGTAAGTGCTTGCGTAATTGCTAGGTGGATACTTTCCCGTGGCACAAACTATACACACACACTCCTAACTGCCTCAATCTCTCTTTTTTTTTCTTGTTGGACCGCTCCAAGCAACAGCCTGTTGGACCAAGCTCTCAAATGGCAGGTCTGGCCTCGGGCCGGGCTTGGGGAGTAGAAGAACTCCCAGAACCCCATCAAGCAGGTAAATCCGTCCTCAAACCAAGTCCATTCTATCCAGCGGTCGACCCCAAAGACGCATTCATCAATTTTGACATTGTGGTCATTCAAAACAGAAGTTTTCTCAAATATAAATTAATATTATAATATATTAGCATATTGCACATATATAGACATAGTTTAGGTGTTTTAGGTTCTGTTGGCGATTATTTGTATTTGTAGTACGTGGGTGAAGCATTTACAGCGTTGTGGTTCGAACAAAATTCGTCAGTGAAGCACTTGTTCCGGAAGTGTTCGGACGTCATCAGTTGTGAATCGTGTGTAAACCGTTTTTCATTCATGAACAGCTGGGGTTTGGCGGGTGGGTGGAATGGACTTGGGTCTTTGTTTATGAGGACGGGCTGTGTTGAGACAGCCAGTCGGACGAAAACCGGTTATCCCAACAACTCTTGGGAGGCCGCGCACGTCAACCACGTCAACGTCAGCTACGTCAACGTCAACCAAGTCAACGTCAACCAAGTCAACGTCAACCAAGTCAACGTCAACCATGTCAATGTCAGAAGTAAACAGTGTTTTAAGTGACTCAAAGGTCCGGCATTAAGTCCTGTTGAGAATAAGGGCGAATAAGGGTTTCTGAGTGACTGCACCTCTGCAATCAGAGGTTTCGACTGAAATTTGCAGTGTGCAAATTTCTTTATCTTCATCATGTGATTAGTTTATATTAGTTCTACTTCTATGCAGGCGAGGAGTCACAATAACGTGGCTAAAGTTGACCAGACTACATGCAGGCGAGGAGTCACAATAACGTGGCTGAAGTTGACCAGACTACATGCAGGCGAGGAGTCACAATAACGTGGCTGAAGTAATCGACTTGAGAATGGTCCAGGACGGACCGAAACGTCGTCGTCCCTTCAATTTCTAGTGTGTGGTCTGACCAGACTACACACTAGAAGGTGAAGGGACGACGACGTTTTGGTCCGTCCTGGACCCCATTCTCCAGTCACAATCGATTTGAGAATGGTCCAGGACGGACCCAAACGTCGTCGTCCCTTCACCTTCTAGTGTGTGGTCTGGTCAACAGTTCTACTCCTAATTCTTTTCATCACCCTAATTTTGTGATAAAAATTATGTTAATATCTGCCTTACCATTCTAGTGGTAATCCTGTCTTTGTTTTTACATGATATATATCGCCGTTCTAATTGTAAGCTAAATGTAACCTTATGCCAGCCTATCCTCCTGTTTTGGTAATTATCTTGAGGTTATCTTGAGATGATTTCGGGGCTTTTTAGTGTCCCCGCGGCCCGGTCCTCGACCAGGCCTCCACCCCCAGGAAGCAGCCCGTGACAGCTGACTAACACCCAGGTACCTATTTACTGCCAGGTAACAGGGGAATAGGGTGAAAGAAACTCTGCCCATTGTTTCTCACTGGCGCCGTAAAGGGAGAGGTAGTACTTATTGTAACGATGAGGACCATAGTATATATAACGACCTACAACGAAATTAGAACGTAGAAATCTGGTCTATTGAGTGGACAAACTGGAAAACTATTTTTTCCTTGTGTTGCTTTGACAACCTAACCTAACCTTCCTAGGTCTAATACACGATATCTGAGGCCTAATATAGTCCATATGTGTGCTATACTAGGCCTAGGAATATTTAAGTTTGAGCTTTAGGGTGCATGTATTTTAAAAAAAATCCTTACTAGTCAGTATACTACTATCTAAAAGATAAGAATGTACGAATTGTAACTATTGACAATCGTCACAATAGGTACTATCTGAACAGGAAATGGGTTAAAATATAAGTTTAATTTGTAAGTTTGGATGGGGATAGAAATAGCCTAATACATCTCTATCCCTTTGAGATGTATTTCTTTCTTGTCTTAATAAACATACTTGAACTTGAAGTTTGATTTTGATTGTTGTTCGCCTGTTTAGTCCAGTCAGTATTGTAAGGCTTTTTAATAGTTGTTACGAATACAATTTCGGAGTCTGCTTCATATAACGTCTGCGTGCTAGGCTGTTATGGCGACTGTTATTGTGAAAAAGGCTTCAGTTTTGAATGAAGCCTTTGATTTCATTTAATGAATATTTTTAACATATTTGCGGAGGTGTTGGGGTTATCAAGGTATAAAAATTTTCAAATGTGAATATTGTCATGAGATGGGAAGGGAGAGTGTTGGGCGAGATGACGGAAGAGGTGGTCACGTGGTGGGAGGAAGAGGTGGAATGGGTAAGAGGGAGAGATGACAGCACCGCTCCTGTGCCAGGTAAGCTACGGGCTCACCATAGCCCGTGCTACTTGGAACTTGTTCCGAGCAGCTGAACCTATAACAACAACAACGAGGGAGAGATGGATTTGGGCAGGAGTAAGGATAGAGAGATGAGAGAGGTACGGTGGATATTTAAAGGGAATAAGACGAGGAGTGAGGATTTACGGGCTATTCATGCCCGTGCCACCTCTTGGGCGGCTTAATCTTCACCAATCAAGAGCGAGGGAAAGTTACAGCCTCGCTCCTGTGCCAGCTAAGTCCACTAGGGGGCTCTCCATAGCCCGTGCTAATTGGAATATTTGTTCCGAGAAGCTGAACCTTAAACAGCAAGGAAGAGTGAGGCATGTTGGGACGAACAGATGATAAGAGCAATAATAATTAGTAATTACAAATAAGATAACCAGTGATAAGATTTTATATATATATATATATATATATATATATATATATATATATATATATATATATATATATATATATATATATATATATATACACATACAAGTTGTTACATTCTTGTACAGCCACTAGTACGCGTAGCGTTTCGGGCAGGTCCCTGGAATACGATCCCCGCCGCCAAGAATCGTTGTTACAACCAAGTACACATTTTACTGTTGCGTTAAACAGAGGCTACAGTTAAGGATTTGCGCCCAGTAAATCCTCCCCGGCCAGGATACGAACCCATGACAAAGCGCTCGCGGAACGCCAGGCGAGTGCTCTGTGTAATTCCCTGACGTACACTTCTTTTAAACTTTGCTAATTGTTCTCCACAAAGTCCCCAAGTCTTCCAGAGTCATTTAATGTAATAAACCAACTTTTGTGTCTTCAAATACAGCCAAGACACGGGGCATTTTCCTGTCAACTCGGCTTGCGGATGTTGCTGAAGTTGATGCAGTGGCTCCGTTGACTTGTCAAGACTTATGTCCAGTTCTTATTCTGGCTGTTGTAGCATTTGATGGTGATTTACTGTGTAGAGTATCAATTTTGATGGTGATTTACTGTGTAAAGTATCAATTTTGATGGTGATTTACTGTGTAAAGTAGCATTTTGATGGTGACTTACTGTGTAAAGTAGCATTTTGATGGTGACTTACTGTGTAAAGTAGCATTTTGATGGTGATTTACTGTGTAAAGTATCAATTTTGATGTTGATTTACTGTGTAAAGTAGCATTTTAATGGTGACTTGCTGTGTAAAGTAGCATTTCATGGTGACTTACTGTGTAAAGTAGCATTTTGATGGTAGCAGTAAATAGATACCTGGAAGTTAGTCAGATGTCACGGGCTGCTTGGGGGGTGGAGGCCTGGTCGAGGACCGGGCCGCGGGGACACTAAAGCCCCGAAATCATCTCAAGATAACCTCAAGATAACCACCTACGGTCATCGGTAGTTTCCTTTCTTCATTTCCTTAGTGGGTCAACAACCATGACTAAGATTCACCAACCACTCTTTAAGTGTCCACTTAAGAAACCTGTGCATGTGTGTATGGGGGGGGGGGAAGTTAGTAGTTACAGTTGATTGACAGTTGAGAGGCGGGCCGAAAGAGCAAAGCTCAACCCCCGCAAGAACAACTAGGTGAATACACACACACACACACACACACACACACACACACACACACACACACACACACACACACACACACACACACACACACACACACAGGAAGCAGCCCGTAACAGCTGCCTAACTCCCAGGTACCTATTTACTGCTAGGTAACAAGAGCATCAGGGTAAAAGAAACTGCTCATATGTTTCCGCCGGCGCCAGGAATCGAACCCCCGATCCACAGGACTAGGTATCCAGCGTGCTGCCCACTCAGCCACCAGGCGCCCTTGAGTGCGGTAGCAGAATGGTGTAAAGACGTAATAGGAGGGAGAAAGGCATGTGCGTTGTTAGATTTACATGCATCATCCCTCGTTACTCCTGTGACAGGAGTCTGAGCCTCACTGTAACTCGACTGTAAGTCACACCAGGAAGCGTGCATTGCCGACTAGATCACCCTGGCTGTGTGTGACCAATGACCACCCTGGCTGAGAGTGACCACCCTGGCTGAGAGTGACCACCCTGACTGAGAGTGACCACCCTGGCTGAGAGTGACCACCCTGGCTGAGAGTGACCACCCTGGCTGAGAGTGACCACCCTGGCTGAGAGTGACCACCCTGACTGAGAGTGACCACCCTGACTGAGAGTGACCACCCTGGCTGAGAGTGACCACCCTGGCTGAGAGTGACCACCCTGACTGAGAGTGACCACCCTGACTGAGAGTGACCACCCTGACTGAGAGTGACCACCCTGACTGAGAGTGACCACCCTGACAGAGAGTGACCAGGAGGCTGTTTATAACAATAACAACAGTTGATTGGGAAGTTTTCATGCTTGTAAATTCTTTAATATAACCAAAGCCGTCAAAGATTGAGGAAAGATGTACACGTTCGTAAGTGCTTGCGTAACTGCTTCGTGAATCTGGGCCCCTGCAGGAAGCCTGTACTTAGGCTCGTATCAAGGTCTCCCAGTCCAACTACTGACCCTACCCAGGATGCACAACAGTTTCTATGTTGTTGTTTTATATTTAGCTACTCAGAGCGAAATGTCCATGTAGCACGGGCTATGGTGAGCCCGTAGTGGACCTGGCACAGGAGCGGGGCAAGTAGCACGGGCTATGGTGAGCCCGTAGTGGACCTGGCACAGGAGCGGGGCAAGTAGCACGGGCTATGGTGAGTCCGTAGTGGACCTGGCACAGGAGCGGGGCAAGTAGCACGGGCTATGGTGAGTCCGTAGTGGACCTGGCACAGGAGCGGGGCAAGTAGCACGGGGCTAGGGTGAGCCCGTAGTGGACTTACCTGGTACAGGAGCGGGGCAAGTAGCACGGGCTATGGTGAGCCCGTAATGGACTTACCTGGCACAGGGGCGGTGCTGTACCTTTGGTGTGATGTGTGTGCAGCAAAAGCAGTGTAATTTGTAACTGTCAAGTCCAAAATAAAACAAACACGGCAAAACAGAATTTTTCTGGTCAAGGACTTTTGGCATTAATGTTTTCATCGTTATCACCTGTTCTCTTTGCTGGTCAGGTCACCCTTATCTTTGCTGGTCAGGTCACCTTTATTTTTGCTGGTCAGGTCACCCTTATCTTTGCTGGTCAGGTCACCCTTATCTTTGCTGGTCAGGTCACCCTTATCTGGGGGGGTACGCCACGTAGGTTACCCCGAGAATGTCTTCTTCCTGGGGAGCCGGTCGGCCGAGCGGACAGCACGCTGGACTTTTGATCCTGTGGTCCTGGGTTCGATCCCAGGCGCCGGCGAGAAACAATGGGCAGAGTTTCTTTCACCCTATGCCCCTGTTACCTAGCAGTAAAATAGGTACCTGGGTGTTAGTCAGCTGTCACGGGCTTCTTCGTGGGGGTGGAGGCCTGGTCGAGGACCGGGCCGCGGGGACACTAAAAAGCCCCGAAATCATCTCAAGATAACCTCAAGATAACCTTCCCAAAAGCACGTTTTAACGTGTTTCTCTAAGGTAGCCTTTGTTCAGGAAGCTTGCATTATATCTGCTTCACTCAGGACGCTCTTAGACAACTCCGTGACAATGAAGCAAGAGGCTCCAATCATGTTTTTTTTTTCAGGGATATTCCTGCGCGGGCCCAAAGCCTCTGGCTGGCCCACTGGGCGGGCCCAAGGCCTCTGGCTGGCCCACTGGGCGGGGACTAAGCCTCTGGCTGGCCCACTGGGCGGGGCCTAAGCCTCTGGCTGGCCCACTGGGCGGGCCCTAAGCCTCTGGCTGGCCCACTGGGCGGGCCCTAAGCCTCTGGCTGGCCCACTGGGCGGGTCCTAAGCCTCTGGCTGGCCCACTGGGCGGGTCCTAAGCCTCTGGCTGGCCCACTGGGCGGGCCCTAAGCCTCTGGCTGGCCCACTGCGCGGGCCCTAAACCTCTGGCTGGCCCACTAAGTGTTGCTTGTTTCTGTTTTACTTGGGCGGAGTATGAGTATTTATGACTCGTATGGTCGCTTCAGTAAGATTTTGTTCCACGTGTTTAACAACTTCTGCTCTGTTGAATCTAAGTTGAAATCTAAGTTAGATAATGTTCCAGTGGTCTGTCAGGCATTTCTCCACAGTGTTGACATTTCCAACCAACCATGATGCTTATGCAGCTGCTTTTCTCGGTTTGTCACTGTATACAATTAAAGTGTTTTGCCTAAACCACAAACCCTAACCTAACCAATCGAAGCCGAAACATAGAAAGCGTCAATATTTCGATGATTAAATGTTTAGCGTTACGTCACATTTTCAACGGAGTGTTGATACAATCTTTTGAAGTTATATCTTGAGGTTATCTTGAGATGATTTCGGGGCTTTAGTGTCCCCGCGGCCCGGTCCTCGACCAGGCCTCCACCCCCAGGAAGCAGCCCGTGACAGCTGACTAACTCCCAGGTACCTATTTACTGCTAGGTAACAGGGGCATTCAGGGTGAAAGAAACTTTGCCCATTTGTTTCTGCCTCGTGCGGGAATCGAACCCGCGCCACAGAATTACGAGTCCTGCGCGCTATCCACCAGGCTACGAGGCCCCTAAAAGTTAGTTACAAAATTATTATAACATTAATAATTTTGTAACTAGCGTCAAAAGATTGTTATTTGCTTAGCTAAACGAACTAGAGGGTTCAGTTCCTGAACCGATTATGTGCCTCTGTAATCCTTTACACCACCGCCCCACGGGATGGGTATGGGGTGCATAATAAAGAAAGAAATTGAGTTGTGGTTCATTCCGTAAAGATTACGGCGTATTAGGCACGAGGGCGATACGCCAGGAATCCCTGGAAACACAAACCGTAACTGATCCTATTTTCCGCTTGTTACAACTTGCAATAAAGTTGTTACATCTTGGCTTAACGTGTTTATGACGTATTAGAACGTTGTTACAACTTGTTATATTGGTTCTTATAACTTGTTAGGAGGTGTTAAATCTTGTTCGAACGTTGTAGCAACGTCGTAGTTTCGCTGTGTGTTTGG